TAAAAATCAATTTCAGATAGAGAAAGATTACAGAAGGATCTAATCTTGATGTTTTGCTTTATTTTGGAGCCAAGGAACACATTGGTAGGCAAGATCTAGATGTTTATGGCAGTCATACATGCTACATGCCTGCAACTAACTCTAGGAGCCTTATTCTTATTATGGGTGAGTTTTCTATTCTTATTATAGGAGAAGAAAACATTATATTTTGAGGAGGTTGTGTGGCTGGTGAACAGTTAGTGTCATGTAACCTGCCCCCTCCTAAAATATAGGCTCCTCTCCCAGGAACCTACCGACGATTGATCAAGGACAGGGTTGAACTCTTACAGCATATGACAGAGGGAGTGGAACAGTGTTTCACACTTGAGCTCTGAATTGGATTAAACAGGAAAAACTTGTTATTTTCCAATACGTGAAGGACTGACATAAGGTTGGGAACATGTTAAGACCAGAACCAAATGATCAGAGAAAACACTTGGATTAGCAAAGCATTAGAGCTAACACGAACTTTCAGTGAGGAAAGGGCCTTGAGTTCATCACTGATTTCCCATATTCCATTCTGCTGGGTTACAGAAATTTTCAATGTGTAACAGTTCTTGACTAATTCAATGAAATCTTATTTGCTTTTAAAAGACAGGTTAATTTTGCAGGAAGCAAAGACAACCGTCCTTCAATCCTTTCCTCTTAAAGTGACTTGAAATAAATATTGGATTTAGAGTGAATACAGGCCTGTAATGTGCAAACACCAGCATTATTCCCCTTCTCCCTCTTCCATTGCAATACACTAGGTCACGTATTTCCAAATGCAAATGCTGTAAGCACAGCAAATAAGAAGCAAGAAATAACTACTGCCATTATCGCTGGCTTCATGCCGCCCACTTGATTTGCTAACTCGATTTTTCTTTTCAGAATATTAACAACAGATTATCATCTTGGTCACTTTTTCTTTTGTTTGTATGCATTTCTCTTTATATAATACATCGTTGGATACATTACATGACGTTTGCTGTATAAATAATGATATAGAAGGGGCATTTCCATTTTAAACATATTAATTAGGTTTAGCCATGCTGCAAATCCATGTTAATGGGAAGGGGATTTGGCTTTTTTATGAGACCTTGAGTACAGAGCCTGACATCTCTCAGTTATATTGGACTATGAATACAATTCAATACAATACTATCACTTCCAATTGATACTGCAGATTGTAGATACTGTGACTTGTGGCCCTATAAAGCTGGAAGGTACCAAGTTAAGAAGTTGCTGAAGTACAACGAAGCCATCCCGTTGGAAAGCTAGCTTCATTATTTTGTGGTTAGAGGGAATATCTGTTTTTGAAGCTAGATCAGTGTTTTTCAACCTTGGCAACTTTAAGATATGTGGACTTCAACTCCCAGAATT